TTAATAGACATAGGAAAGGGTTCTCAAATCCAACTCTTAAATGCTGTATCCTCTATCCAGTTCCAAGAACTTTTTACCACAAGGTATTGGTCATAGCACAAAATGAGTAACTAATGACATTGCACCAGACAAGACAAAAAGATTGGTTTTAATTAAAAAAAAAAAAAACACAACAAAATAAAACAAAACAAAAACCCAACTTTGTCTCCGTGGTAATATGGAATAAGTTTCCTCAGAGATAAGGGGTATGCAAATAGTTTCTGTACTTCCACTTATCACAGCATTCTTCATTATCACAATACTGGGTAGCCACTGTACTAATTTTTACAACTTTTAAGAGTCTTTGCACTCATGTTTTTTTTTATTTTACAGCAGGGAAACTATAACAAGATGTTCAAGTTCACAGAAGGCATCAAGGGCAGAGCCTTCTGTGAGAGCTGACCTTGCTTCTCTTGAATCCTCGGTAAACATCTCCATTTTCCAAACACTCCTTGTATCTGGCATTAGTGCAGTCTAGTGGAGATCAGATATGTTGCAAAGCTACCACAGCATACGGATCCGGGACAAAGTGAACTGGAGATCACTGTACCTTCTGACTACATACCTAAAATAGAGGAAAACATTCTCCAGCTCCCTGCTGATAGTTTGTTTACAATGCCCCCAATACTCAGTTACTAGGAAGAAGTGGATGTTAGGCAAATAAGTATGTTTAAAAGTATACGTCAAAAGTCTTTTACAGAGCAGTTTCACAGAAGGGTGTGTCATTACCAGAAAATCATAGAATGGCATAGGCTAGAACAGACCTCAGAGATCATCTAATCCAACCTCCCTGTCATGGGCAGGGACGCCTCTCAACTAGATCAGGCTACTCAAGGCTCCGTCCAACCTGGCCTTGAACACCTCCAGGGAGGGGGCATCCGGGACTTCTCTGGGCAATTTATTCCAAAGTCTTACCACCCTTGTACTGAAGAATTTCTTCCTAAGATCTAATCTAAATCTGTTCTCCTTCAACTTAAACCCATTTCCCCTTGTCCTATCAGTGGACACTCTTGTAAAAAGTCCCTCCCCAGCTTTCCTGTACGTTCCCTTCAGGTATTGGAAGGCAGCTATTAGGTCCTCCCGAAGTCTTCTCTTTTCAAGGCTGAACAATCCCAGCTCCCGCAACCTGTCCTCATAGCAGAGGTGCTCCAGCCCCTGGATCATCTTTGTGGCCCTCCTCTGAACACGCTCCAACAAATCTATGTCTCTCTTATGGTGGGGACACCAGAACTACACGCAGTATTCGAGGTGGGGTCTCACAAGAGCAGAGTAGAGGGGGAGAATCACACTCTCCCAAAGCTTTAAAGTTAAGACTGAATACATTGTGCTTCTGTGCTATAGGGATAGGGCAGGCTGGGAAGACAGCAGATAACTAAAACAAGAAAGGCTGTGTGAGAAGTGGAAAGCGCCTTCTCATCATCCCCAGGAAAATGGGTTTCTCTGTATTTCCAGCTATGTTGACCAAAGTGAAGGAGTCCTCCTCTGCATGCTTGTATCAAAGAGGGATCTGGATTCCATCCTTCTAAACTTTGCACTTCTCCCTTTTCCAGTCTCTGGATCAAATCAGGTCAGCATAACTGAGACCCATTTGCTCACCAAACAGTAAGAAATAATTTATTGCACCAAAGGAAATTGCTCTACTAATTGTCCTGATACTATTGCCCGTTAGCACCTTCAGAGTGCCTTTAAACACTAGAAACAGTGACATTTCTAATAGGAAGGCATAAAACACTGTCTGAATCCACAGAGTGCACTTCATGTTCCATCTGAAACCTTTGCCTCTACTTATACCTTCGCTTGGGCCAGCTGCTGTTTTCAGCTGCATCTGTAGCATATAGCTCTTGAACTTGCAAGCAGGTAGAAACGAAGACGTATAGGTTAGGATGAACTCAGCCTTTATTTTGGTAAATGTCATCAGAACATCATGGAAACAGAGAAGGAGCAGAGATCTGACAAGTTACCAGCTCTACGTACAACTGGAGAAACTTACCATATCTCCCTGTTGCACTGGAACGAGTGAGAGTTGAGAGAAGTTATTACACTTCATCTTATCAACATTGTTGTACAATAAGGCTGGAACCAAACAAAATCTCAGACCTAGAAAACCCTCAGACTTTGAGGATCTACACCAAATCTTCATGCACGGTATCGCAGTATGAACTAGAAATTAGCTACTTCACCTGACTTCTAACGCAGTTTGGATTTAGGATCAAAGCTGTCTCTCAGATACATCTCAAAAAAATAAAATGAGAGGGGTCCATGCAAGAATTACAAAATCCCATGCTAACACCTCTTAAACTTCACAACTCAAGATCCAAAAGGCTCTTAGTTATTTCTGTATCTGGTATTAGGAAGACTACTCCTGAAACATGGTCATCAGTTCTGCTGTCCTCACTTTGAAGAAGGATGTCTGAAGTGGGAAACAGTTCACAGAGATGATACAAACAGAATCTGAAATCTAGAAGCTTACAGGAAGAGTGACAGCCCTAAGAACCTCTCTTCCTATCCAGTTTAGCCAAGAAAAGGTTAAGAAGTGAATTTATCTAAAAGCACCTATATCAAGAGTAGTCTTTTGACAATATTTAGCAGGAAAGGAGATAATGAGATCTAATAGTTGGAAACTGAAATTGACTAACTCAAACTATAAATAGGCCACTTAAAAAAAAAAAGGCAAATAAGGAGGATAATTAAGCATTAAAAGAACATCTAGAGACCTTATATCCTCCCCATCACTGAAGTCTTTACATGAAGAGCAGAAATCTTCCCGCATAACATGCTGTAGCTCAGTCAGTACTTGGACCTAAACACAGGAGTTACTGAGTGAAGTTCTGTAACTCAAGTTGTACCAAAGATCTTTTTAGGAATTCATAATGGTCCTTTTCTGGCCTAGCTATGAATCTATATACTTTAAACAGTGCTTACAACAATGTTTGAGTCAGTTGGTTGGTGACAGCGTTTGGGTCAATATTGATTGCATACTGGGCCGCAAAATACTATACTGCCAGGGACTACAACTAGTAAGGCTTTGTAAACGTGCTCCATGTTGTTTACGACCTGAGACACTAACTTTGTGGAAGACTATTCCACAGATATTTAATGATTAATCATCTGTGCTTTTACACGACAACAAGTCAGACTGGTGCGGAAATACTAATGGGAAAGAAGCCTCCTTGCAAGTTTAAAAATGTGCCAGTGAAAAGAAAAGCAAAATCAAAACAAAAATCAAGGTGAAAGGTTGGTTCACACCTAAAAATATTGGATAAAAAGTCTTCACTGAGAGGAAGCCTTATGAGCTTCACACTACTTAGCATGCTGGCTAGTTGATGAGAAGGAAGCGGGTAGTAAACACAGTGCTCCACTTCTTTCAGTATCAAGGGTCTCTGCCTTCCTGCCTTGTGCATGTCAGACCCCGTGGGGAAGACAATAGGTAATTGGAAAGCCAGCTGTGATCCTAGCTGTGGAGAGCACAGACAGTGGTTCCCACAGCAGAAGTAAATAGTACCAACTAATGCAATGAGGGACAAAAAAAAACCAAACCAGATCTCAGGGATTAAAAGCCACAGTGGGGAAAAGAACTGCTGCAGAACTGCTTCTGTGTTGGTTTCTGTGTGACTTAAGTTTTGGGCAAAGCACAGAAACGCCCTGTAAGTGTGGCAGCAAGTCCTCCTGGGGCTGGAGAAACAGGCCAGCAGCCACACGCAGGGGCAAGCAGGGTCTGGAAGCTCGGGGATACTCAGGCAGCGATCAGCCATGGTTAGAAATGCTGCAGCGCCAGCTCCCATCCCCATCAGAGAGCACAGAAAAGGAACAACTTGAGCTACGCTGCAGCACAGGTGGAAGAGAGAAAGAGGCAGCAGAAAGAAAAAACAGGACCGCGGAACACAGCATGGGCAACGCGCAACCTTGGGGCAGAGCAACTCAGTGGTCAACAAGGGTGCGAGCACGGGATTACAGAAGTGCTGGGAGCATCCAGAAAAGGACTGTGCCTGGAAGACAGCTGAGGACAGGAATGAGAATGTCTTGTGATAAACATGGAGACTTTTTTTTTTCCCCCCTCTCTGAAATCCCAAACCCATTTGTCAGAGGGCAACGCACGAAGTTACGTCTACTCCTGGCCCTGTTGCTCATTGTTGCTCAAGTACCCCAGGAGCGTAACACCTGACAAAAGTTTACTTAAAACCTCTCGATTTACATCAGAACTGCTTCCTCTCCAAAAAGGAAAATTCCACTCTTCCTTGTCCCCATCCTATCTCACTAATTCACCTCTGGCTGGCCAATAGCCCTTGGCCTTTCCTATTCCTCAAACATTAAATCATCTCAGCAAGGAAGCGCCTGGCTCTCGCCTTGCCCTCCTGCTCCAGTTTTTTCTCCCAAGTCAGTGATATGCCTTTCCTCCTTTGCAGCATCCTTTTGTGCACAGCTAAGCTTATGCTTCCTCCTTTCCCACTGCCTCTGTCAGCACACACACTCTGTAGTAGGGAGCCTGGGCACCAGGAACGTTTAATGCTGAGACTCAGAACAACCTGAAAATTACCCACGGCACAAATACACTCCACTTGCCACAGTTTGTGAAACTCTGACCTTGTGTCGCAGCACATTGCTGAGCAATTCCTATACCGTGGAAACATAGCACTTCCCATCAAAATAAAAACTTCCACATCTGTGCCTGTCGTGAGAAATAAGCCAAATCCTGGACCGGGGTGCAGGGGACAGGAGGCAGCAGCAGGGGGATAACGTATTGTATTTAAGAGTAATTACCTTTGGTTAAAAAGGGTATTTAGAAAAATCAAACCAACTAGAGCTTTAATAATAAATAATAATAACAATAATGATAATTAAAAAAAGAAGTCTAAGGCCAGGGGGTTTCCCTGCTCCCTTCCACAAAAATAGAAACACCTCCTCATCCCACCCCTCACCCTCCTCAATCCAAGAAGGTAAGAAGCCTCCGCGCTGACACTCACGTAGGTGTGCAGGCAGTCTGATCGTGTCTTCCTCCATCCTGATCGCTCGAGGCACTGGGACATGTAGTGGTGACGAGGAAGTGTAATTTGGTACCGGGCTCACTGGAGGTGTGTACGAAATTCTTTCCTGCTGTTAAAAAGAAAGTTGGAGGGGGGGGAGAGAAGAGAGAGGACAACGTGAACTTTGGAACAGAGGTGCGAAACCAAGAGAGGGGAGGGGGAAGTGGGTGGAAGGAAGGAAGCGCGTGTGCGCGGTGGGGCCACACAGCGATGCACCCGGCTGCCCGGGGGGACACGGAGCTCACAGCCCATCTGCTTGCCGGCAAGCGCTGCACGGGCGACGTGCCACCCACTGCTGTGGCCAGGGCCAAACAGCTTTTAGGGAGACAGGTTTAATTTTCAAAAGGTCCACCAAGTTTCCAAGGGTCTTCTCAGAAATTTGCCGAGGGAGGAAAGGGAAGTGACACACAAGTGGGGAGACTCTGAGGGTTTTATGAAAATCTGACAGCAACTCCATGATACGTGCATGAGTACGGTTACAGAAAGCGCCAAAACCACGTAATCTTATACTAACAAATCAGTCATGATCTGAGCGTGTTTATTAAGTATTTAACACTTTACTTCTTCACAGTATTTTCAAGACATTAAGCAATTAGTTCTGTCTTTTCTGCGGAAAACCATGCTCTATAGTAAAAACTACTCTATTTACCATCAAGTAACGTAGTACTTTTCTCTTCTTGCCTAAACTAGTTACCAGCACTTTCTTTGAAGTAGTTTAACTTGCAACCAAATGAGTAAGCCAGCATACAGAAAGCAGCTATGCAAGGACAGTCAGACAGAGTTAAAGGGCAATTTGTGAATGTTGCATTAGTTTCTTAATTGTCACTGTTAGGTTTTTATTTCTGAAAACGTCAGCCAAGAAATTTAAGACTGAAATTTCATCTGATGGGAAAATTCTTCCATATTCTAAGCCTGTACTCCAATCACAGCACAAATTATACCCTTTGTTAATAAACATAGCCTAAATTTTACAGGAGCATAAAAAAATCATTATCATGTGCTTCCTGGAAGGCAGTGCGCGTTATTCCCTAAAACCGTGCTGCTGACATTTAATGATGTCAGTGCAACAGTGTGGATTTACATCCACATGCACGCAGAAGCAAAAGGAGCTACTTTCATTTCTGAGCATTTGCAGGAGAGTACATGTGCAGCTCCCCACCCTGACCCCGATCTCTGGCAAATGGAAAAGAAACGTGGTGCTGGAGCAAAAGAAGGCAATTACTTCCATTACGAACCACATCATCACGGCCATGTGGCAGGGAACTAGACTGAGGCTGATAGAGGCGCCTGCAGAACTAACATCAGGACCCTCACCGCCAGCAAAGGGAAGGAGAGGTTTGTACAACGTGAGTAACTAAATGTACCAAAGCAGAAAACTCTTCAGGCAGACAAGGTGACATGTCCAAAAAGAAATGGGATATGGAGCACCTAGAAAGCCTTGCATCTCTCAGTCACCACTTCAAAGCAAGCCCAGCTCATTCTGGCACAAGGCGCTGTTACCAGCTTGCTGTTCAGGAGCTCATGGAGAACCAGAAGTTTTGCCTCAACGTCTGGAGTCCCACCACTATACTATATCCACCACAGCTCACAGTCATGGCAGAGAAGACTGACAGCACGTGAAGAATAAATGATCCATCTCAACATCAACTATTCTGGGTTTAGACAGAGTGGGAAGACAGAACTGGTTCACTCCACCACCACTACGTTGTTACTTCTGAGAGTACAGCCTCCATGACTTTCAGTTCAACACTTTTTAACTAGAAATTGTTCAATCTCGTATTCCAGTCTCCCACAAAGCCCTTTAACACTTCATTGTGTTCACTCAGTTTTTCTTTCTACTCATCACTGCCCAGGCAATAGCAATTCATTAGTTCATATGAATTTAGTTTTCCTTTGTGAACGAACAGGGATGTTCATGAAGACATGGCGAAAGGCGCACCTGCGGAGCTACAACACATCATTCTGTTTTCGACTTACGCAACTCCTCCCCTGACCCAAAGCAGCTGACTCTACGCCTCGCGTTCCCGCGAGGTGCGGCACTCTCTGCCCATTCCGCAGTCTCGCTGCCCGTTTGCACCTTCTCACCACTGGTGCCCATACCAGTGACTTGCAACAAGACCAGCCACTTCCTAGAGTTTCCTGCTGCGATCCACAGGTCAGATAATTGAACCACACTGCAGCTGCTCATTTTGTTTACTGAACAAGATATTTACAAAAAGAGGGACGCTTCTGAAACGTAGCCACACAGATGTCTGCCTCTGCAAACAGGCACCAGAGGGTAGATGGGAGACGTGAAGACCTTCTACCCTCTCCCAAATAATGCAGGATGCAGTCCAACCTCAGGTCCCACTTCATGCTCACAGAAATACTGAATCACCGCTGCAAAGACAAGTGCTCAAAGGGCCTTCTACCTGGCCAACAGCAGGAGAGAAGGACAAGTAGAAGATGAAATTAAATCCAGAACCCCGTGCACTTCCCTCAGCACCCAGGAGGTGTTGTATCAAACTAAGACATTACGCTTCCAGTACCTGCTGCCTTCCTCTCTGCACTGATCAGCCTCCTAAAGGCGCACTGTAACTTGATTTATGCCGAGGCAGTTTCACTGAGATTTATTGTTACAAATAAATACACTTGATTCATTGTTTCCTAGTATTCATAAGAACAGGACGGTAAAACCAAAAAATAAGTTGTGGAAATGCACAGTTGCTTTTTCCATACACCTTGGCTGTCCACAGTAATGTGTGAATTGGGAATATTTGCAGAACACATTTCACAACGCACAAAGGGGAGTTAGCTATCCGACTCTTATTAGTGCCTTTGAAATGCCCTCTCTTACTAATCCTGCATTTTTTTCCAGCACCTTTAACCCAAATATCAAAGCAACTTACAGACATTAGGTGAGTCTTTTTCTTTTTATTAGACACACGGACAACTTGAGTTACAGAAAGAGCAAAGCTCAAATGAGCTAAGTAATTTCAGAGCTAAGCTGTCTTGAAAAAGGACAGCATGTGCCTCTCAAGGGCAATACACTTAACAAGCTCATCCTGAAAGAGTAGCCCTTGTAACTGTCCTGGCCACACTTCCAAAAGGTGTGGAATGGCAATGTCACAAGGAGGTCAAGGCACTGGGCTTGTGGAAAAATGAGCTTCATCCCTGTTTGCAGCATGAGTCAGTAATATGACTGGAAGCAAACTGCAAACATCAGTCCAGTTCTGCAACTTACTGCAGCTCTGTGCTTCAGCCACATGCAACTCCTGGTCTACACAGACATGTGAATGCACAAGGTCACGTTTGCTCCTCCAGGCTTTTTAAGGCTCTTTAAAGTCACGCTTTCAGGAGGTACCTGTTGCATTCACACTACTGAGAACAGATTTGCTTTAATCTTCACAACTCCAGAACTGCCCAGTGCTTCCCTCCATGGGATCCATCAGACAAAACTGTGGCTGATATCTCGTACTTCTAAGGTTATGCAACCAGATGCTCCACTACTAGGAATTTTTCTGAAAGAGTTTCCTAACCAGTCAGTTTAATATTTCCCCTTGCACTAAGGCCAAGAATAGACAGTTCAATGGTAGGGTTGCTCAAGCAGCAACGTGGGAGGAAGGATGCTGGTAGCAGAACCAGCATGAACCTTGCGTGTACTTGAGCAAACAGCCTTGCTGCAGCTTAGTCTACTGGTAAAAGAGACTAAATTAATACACATTTCTGTGGTCCTTTGAGATTATTGGTGATGAGTACTAGGAAAGAGGTTGGCATTACCACATTCCAGATTCACCACCTGCCAGGGGACTCTATAAACATTTAAAACCACAAGTGACCAAACTGCTCAGCCCCAAACAACTGCCATCTAGAAGTAACTTCAAAATAGCAGCTCCCTAGCATTTTGCCAGTAGCCACAATGAGGTGGACAAAACAGTTGGCATATTGCTTGCTGTCATCATTTTTGAAAGGCTTCTTCAGCTCTCAGTGAGTCAGGAAAGTTTCCCCATGAAATTTCACCTTGACTGCAATAATTGAAGAGATGCGTAAGTCAACCTTTACGGAGACCCTCCTTGGGGTTTACCCTAGTAGCGGCTGGTGCTCCAAAAGTGCCACCTAGACAACCAGCCAGATCTGCTGAGACAGGGGCATGCTTTCATCTGCCTGATCTAGCAGAGACAGATTGAAACACAGGGTTAAGAATCAAGACAAGCTATGGTTTTGTTCTCTTTGTACTAGAAAAGTATGAAATACTAAGTATCCAGGTGCTGAGGAAGCCTTAGATCACACCATCTTGTCTAAAAAAAGGAAGGTAACTCAAAAGCTATATTGATCATGACTATCGAGTAAGAGTGTACATAACAGCTGACTAGACTCCCAAAGCCATCAAAGCACACGTTGATTTCTGTTTGAAGAATTGAGGTAGATCCTTTACAAAATCTAGCCTGAACAGTTGGAAAATTCTGTCAGGAACACAAATAATTCACATTGCTAAAAATAATTTTTAAAAAAATTAAAAATTGCAAAATTAAATTCGTAGTCACCTTTTAAGAAAAAGGCTAACAGTTGAGGATGATGAGTGAGGCTGCAAGTAAAAATAGCTTCGTGTTTTTGCTAAAATTATGCCCTTCTAAACTCCAAAGCAGCAGCCTTCATCATGAACGCTCTCCAGCTTGCAGTCTGATAGTCTTTTTCTCCCTTTACCAACCCTGCTCAGATCACAGGCACAAAGGACACACATATTTTTGCAGAAATGAAAGTAAAATATATAAGAAAGCATGATAAACAAGCCCTCATGTTGTCCCAATGACATGATCACTTCAGTAGTTAGATAGGATGGTATACTAAAATTACTTTTTTTAATTGATAAAGCAAAGAAACGCATTACCCATGCAGCAGTTTTCAGGAAACCAGAATGGCCAACATGGTCTGCAAATACCCTGCCTCTCATCACCGTGCGAAAAACCTACTTCTGTATTGCACATAACGATATTGTGCAAGGCAAAGTTAACCAAGAGTGAAAGCTGACACACGCTTGCCCCTTGGCTGCTGGTGTACAGGTGGCACCTGTCTTGTTACATTTGCAG